GGTCTCGAAAAGTAGGTCACAGGTCAAAGGTCATTTGGGTCAGGGTCATGAAATTTTCAGGGTAGGTGTGAAATTGATGAACGCGAGGGTACTGAAAGTTTCGTCGCAATCGGCCGCTTTTTACGCGAGTTATTCGCGAAAAACCATGGGGGGGGGGTCCGTTCGACCCCCCCCCCCTATACGGGCGAGGGTTAAATCAAATTTAGCTACTCATACGTCCGTTTTATTGAGCGTGTATCATTTGTAGGGATGTGTTGTCCTTCATTTGCTCCCTTACACAGAATAGCCGGTTATCATTCCCTACGCAGTTATGTAAAATAATGATCGCTCTTTGGCCGATACATAACGAAAAAACACCTGAAGCTACGATAACGATTGTTCGCCAGAAATTTGTTGAAGATTACTTGACGTTAAGACGGTCATTGTGAAGGTTTAGTGACCAAGTGCCCGCGATATGGCGATGTATTTGCGATCATTTCCAGAACAACGAGCCTATCCTGCGCCTTCGCTGGTATTTGTGGCTGGCAGATGACGGCTTATATGTGGTGAGCCTGCTGAGTTTGCCTACTATTACCATGGTAGCGGCCTCTGAGACTATGAGACAAACATGGACCAGTGCGTTATGCGCAAGTAGCATGGTTGAGCGAGTACCTTATGGAAATAGCAATTATTCTGCGTGCAGGTTTTCCGTTCTATCGGATATAACTAGAAAACATGGGCGATGGTTACACGCCATTTATTTCAGTAGCACACCATTTACCACGTAATCACACACATCGTACTACCGCTAATATCATATCTGTGGTCCCAATGAGTTGCTGTGCCAAATTTATACCTAAATTAGCCAGCTTATCGGTTATAGGATATCAGCAATAAAAAACTCAGAATAAGTACGCTTCGTTTGTAAAACACACTCCACTACATGACTCAAAATATCCTAGTCTAGCTAGCTGTTACTAATGACATACTGACCTCGACAATAACCGCAGGTTGTTTGAAAAGACAAACACTATTCGTTAGAATTGTGTTTTTCTATTGAAAAACAACCGGAGCGGTCCTTCTCCGGGCTATGTTTTGCAAGTCTGGCAGCGAATTGGGGCAACTTGGTCGCAGCCTAGACGAATCGTTCAATCTTGGTAAAAAGTTCAGTGTATGGGCTCCCGGAGGCGATCTACCTGATGGCACCGGTCGCTACTCGCTAAGAAGTCTTTTGCGCGTGGCACGTGCGATTCCATTTTCCCCATGTTAAGTCAATGGGGTTTTGGACACTTTTTGCGCGATCGCCAATAGCGGGAAAACGAGCCAAGAAGGAGGTGGTTTTCTTCCCAGCATTTTATGGCAAACACGTTTGGGTACACGCTAGTGTGCGCTGTATACCCGCCAGAATCTCGTGGCACGTGGCACGTGCGATTCCATTTTCCCCATGTTAAGTGAACGGGGTTTTGGACACTTTTTGCGCGATCGCCAATGGCGGGAAAACGAGCCAAGGAAGAGGTGGTTTTCTTCCCAGCATTTTATGGCAAACACGTTTGGGTACACGCCAGTGTGCGCTGTATACCCCTCAGAATCTCGGAACGTGTCTTTGCACGAGATCAAAGTTGGAATTTTGCTGTGTCCCATGTTAAGTCAATGGACGGCGATGCCGAGACTTTGCAGAGACATTTTCATTCGTTCATTGTACAAAATTTTAGAGATAGAATTTGCCCAAACTCTTATAGCTTGTACAGGAAAGAGCGTAGTACATGCTGGTATGCTTCGTTAAGCTGGCAGAAATCGTTTTTTCTAATAAAGTTCGTTTGAAATTGAAAATTTTTAACATGGAAAGTCAATGGGAGCATCTTTATTCCTCTAAAACTTTTATCTTTAGTAAGACATATAGGTGAAAAGTTAATATAATATACAACTTCTGATGCTCTTTCCACTGGTGCATAGAACGTCACTGCACGATGTGCCGTTTTTAAGAAAAGCTGTAAAAAAATCAGGGCTCGACTGTGACTTGAACCCAACCACATTAGAGTATACGAACAGGTGAAGGGGACACCTCCCATGTGCGGACGCGACGCTGATTATTGCTAATTATTGGCAGTCGGCCGCCCTGGGGGCGCCTTTGCAAAGCTTATATCTCCACAACCGCTTGACCGATTCACTTGCGGTCTTTTGTGTGGGATAGCTTCTTCCTTTCTCACACGTAGTGTGCTACCCTCGATACGTATGGGTGACCCCTAATGCACGTGCCACGTGCAAAACGAAGAGGTGTCAGTTCGGTAACAAGTCTAATAACTCTGTAGTTAGTTTGCCGATTGCACTGATACTTGGCATGGATGTAGGCACCCGCCGTGCAATGCATTTCCATGTGTCACGGTTGGGGTGCCGCTGCACGTGCGCACGGGCAGGGTGACGATTCCCAGATCTCGAGAACGGCTGGGCCGATTGTGATCAAAGCTGGCACACCGTTAGGGCTCGGCGAGTAGGGTGCCGTGCACAAGTCAGATGGGACCCAGTTTGCACGTGCGCACGTGCAGGCTGACGCTTCCATATTTCAAGAACGGCTGGACCGGCTGTGCTCAAATTTGGCATACCACTAGAGACTATTAGTAGGGTGCCGTGCACAAGTCAGTAAGTATGTATTTTCATGTGCCGCGGTTGGGGTGCAGCTGCACGTGCGCACGTGTAGGGGTCGTTTCCCGATCTTGGAAACGGCTGGGCCGATTCAGATTAAATTTGGTACATCGCTAGAAACCGGCGAATAGAGTGCCGTGCACAAGTCAATTGGGGCCCACGCTGCACGTGCGCACGTGCAGGGTGTCGCTTCCAGATCTCGAAAACGGCCGGGTCGATTGCACTCAAATTTGGCACACCGCTATAGACCGGTGAATAGGGTGCCGTGCACGTCAATCCGTAGCACACCGACTCCGGTCTGCACGTGCAAGGCTCATCCTCTCGTTTGGCGGCGGACGTTTTTGCTGCGTTTACAAAGGTGCTTGCTCAAACAACCTGCGGTCCCGCGATGCGGAGCCCAGCATCGCAGATGCTGGTAAAGACAGCGTAAATGTTAAGGCCTACAATCCTTGGGTCTCAGCTAAATTTGCAACGTGGCTTTTTCACTTAAAGGGACCCTCCCACCCTAACATTAGTTTTGAGTTGAGATAGCCAAATTGGTGGCCATGACCTGCAAATACCGGTTTGGACACTCACAACATCGAAAAATGCTTTAATTCGAAGATAACCGCAGGTTGTTTGAAAAGACAAACACTATTCGTTAGAATTGTGTTTTTCTATTGAAAAACAACCGGAGCGGTCGTTCTCCGGGCTATGTTTTGCAAGTCTGGCCGCGAATCGAGACATCTTGGTCGCAGCCTAGACGAAATGTACAATCTTCGTAAAAAGTTCAGTGTATGGGCTCCCGGAGGCGATCTACCTGATGGCACCGGTCGCTACTCGCTAAAAAGTCTTTTGCGCGTGGCACGTGCGATTCCATTTTCCCAATGTTAAGTGAACGGGGTTTTGGACACTTTTTGCGCGATCGCCAATGGTGGGAAAACGGGCCAAGGAAGAGGTTGTTTTCTTCCCAGCATTTTATGGCAAACACGTTTGGGTACACGCCAGTGTGCGCTGTATACCCCTCAGAATCTCGGAACGTGTCTTTGCACGAGGTCAAAGTTGGAATTTTGCTGTGTCCCATGTTAAGTCAATGGACGGCGATGCCGAGACTTTGCAGAGACATTTTCATTCGATCTTTGTACAAAATTTTAGAGATAGATTTCGCCCAAACTCTTATATCTTGTAGAGGAAAGAGCATAGTATATGCCGTTATGCTTCGTTAAGCTGGCAAAACTCATTTTTTCTGATAAAGTTCATTTGAAAATTAAAATTTTTAACATGGAAAGTCAATGGGAGCGTCTTTATTCCTCTATAACTTTTATCGTTAGTAATATATATAGGTGAAAAGTTAATATAATGTACAACTTTTGATGCTCTTTCCAACAATGTATAAAACGTCACTGCACGATGTGCCGTTTGTAAGAAAAGTTGTAAAAAAGCAGGGCTCGACTGTGACTTGAACCCAACCACATTAGAGTATACGAACAGGTGACGGGGATACCTCCCGTGTGCGGATGCGACACTGATTATTGCTAAATATTAGCAGTAGGCCGCCTGTGGGATGCCTTTACAAACCTTATATCTCTGCAACCACTGGACCGATTCACTCGCGGTCTTTTGTGTGGGATAGCTTCTTCCTTTCTTACACGTAGTGTGCTGTTCTCGATGCGTATGGGTGACCCCTAATGCACGTGCCACGTGCAAAACGAAGAGGTGTCAGTTCGGTAACAAGTCTAATAACTCTGTAGTTAGTTTGCCGATTGCGCTGATACTTGGCATGGATGTAGGCACCCGCCCCGCAATGCATTTCCATGTGTCACGGTTGGGGTGCCGCTGCACGTGCGCACGGGCAGGGTGACGCTTCCAGATCTCGAGAACGGCTGGGCCGATTGTGATCAAAGTTGGCACACCGTTAGGGCTCGGCGAGTAGGGTGCCGTGCACAAGTCAGTAAGTATGTATTTTCATGTGCCGCGGTTGGGGTGCAGCTGCACGTGCGCACGTGTAGGGGTCGTTTGCCGATCTTGGAAACGGCTGGGCCGATTCAGATTAAATTTGGTACATCGCTAGAAACCGGCGAATAGAGTGCCGTGCACAAGTCAATTGGGGCCCAGGCTGCACGTGCGCACGTGCAGGGTGTCGCTTCCAGATCTCAAAAACGGCGGGGTCGATTGCACTCAAATTTGGCACACCGCTATAGACCGGCGAATAGGGTGCCGTGCACGTCAGTTTGTAGCACACCCACTCCGGTCTGCACGTGCAAGACTCATCCTCTCGTTTGGCGGCGGGCGTTTTTGCTGCGTTTACAAAGGTGCTTGCTCAAACAACCTGCGGTCCCGCGATGCGGAGCCCAGCATCGCAGATGCTGGTACAATACTCGCCTGGTTTAAGGTGAATCAGAAAGAACAGATACCTATGTATGTATACATTATCCAACTCAGAGTAGTATTCGGACAAAGCAAATGACAGAGGCATCCACAAGCACACACCCTGGCTTCATAAAATTCATTGAATGGGTTAGCTTGTCTGTTATATAAGAGATTTATTTTCGGCTAATTGGTCCCTAACGGACAGAGATGCTTCCATTTTGGCTCATGAATCAATGAACCTCACGACTGCATCGTTTTGCCGAGGACAGGATACGAAATAATTCCTCCTACGTGCCAGGGCACGTGAACAAACCAATCAACAGCCAGTGCGACAAGAATAAATTAAAAGCTGACGGCATTCGACAAAGAGAAGAAACATCTGAAGAAACATTACTGTTACCGAATTACTACTACACGCCTCAGTACACCGCACATCACACGCATATCACTTGACTTTAAATAAAGTCTCGTCTTTCTCTAGCATTGAATTATTAACAGCGATATGCTTCATTGCGTTACCAACCTTGCCACGATATTTTTTATCACTGCGCATTTATTGGCGCTGAGATCATGAAAACGACTCGGTAGGCTATACTTACTTATTCCGAGAGAACTGCATCAAAATGTTAAGCCATTGCACTTACTCAACTACATACTATCCTCCTTGATATGTTGAAAACACAACCAAAATGTCAACCATAAAAGATGTAAACAACAATAACTAAGATACATATAAAACATTATCTTTACTTGTCACCCCAGAAGATCAGCCTAGCCCCTCAGCTCATACTGGCAAGCAAATAACCTATCTAAGCCGATAGTTAACCATCCCTAAGCCCTTCTCCGTCGAACAATCCGGTTCACTAACTCAGCTCAAGCCAGCTCAAATCACTCATTCTTGGGGCAGTCATTATCCATCCCTTAGCTCATTCGAATAACGCATTCCGTCACTGTTTCATCCCAGAAGCCGGGCCCCACCCAACAGCTTGGCCTATGACTTCTTGCCAACCATCAGCTCATCGAAGCAGCCTTTCTATCCCATCTCATCCTATCCTATCCCTCTTATCAGCCCTATCCCGCTCATCCTATCTCTCAACACATTTCAACCATTCCAACCCCTACGCTCTCTCATCCCATGTTATCCGCCTTCATCTCCCAGCTTATCCGAGCTACGCTATCTCATTCCAGCAATCTTATCCGCCCTCGTCTGCCAGCCTATCCGAGCAGCCGTGTTCCATTTCCTGCTAGCAGCAGCGGCTGACACCCGTCTGTGAGACACAGATCTGTGATGTTGAGGGTGCCGCAGGTACTGTAGACGGGTGGACCGAGCAGGGCATCCAGCCCGTAGGCCAGCAGGGAGCCCGTTGTGAGGCCCAGCGAGTAGCTGATGGTCATCACGTTACCTGGGGAGAGGGGGAGGTCAGGGAAGGTCAAATTGGTGGTGGTTATTGTAAGAAATACGTCAAATCAAGGCAGACCCAACGGGGCTAGGCGACTACAATAATGTGACGATAAGACGAAAACCGATGCATGATTTGGTTTTAATACGGAATTCTCTCGATTTTTCGTCAACCTGCAAATTAATTACCGGCAGTGCGTTGAGCTCCCCTTTCTGTCCGTCTATATCTCTTTCTGCTTCTCTCCATCCTCCTTTTCCTTTTCTTCATTTCCTTTCCTCTACCACCTCAGTCTATCCCTTCCACCCTCCCTCCCTCCCTCTCTCCCTTCCTCTCTCTCTCTCTCTCTCCTCTCTCTCTCTCTCTCCTCTCTCTCTCTCTCTCTCTCTCTCTCTCTCATTCGACCTCCCCCTTCCTCTTTAACTCACCACATAGCTCCCGGTTCTGATCGGCCACCTTGTTGGGTGCCAGGATCATTGGCAGACTTCCCACCAGTCCATTGCTCAGACCCAGCAGCAGACTGAACAGCATAGGCCATCCCTCCCACGAGAGGAGAGGGTCGGAGCGGGGCGCGGCGCAGAGAACCAGGGGAGGGATCAGGAGGAAACGGAGGGCCGAGAATGACACGAGCTGGGTTCGAGACCACTCGTAGGGTATCGAGGCCAGCACCTGGGGAGAGAGGGAGAGGGGAGGGTTAGATAAGAGAGAAGGGGAGCGAGGAACACGTCAAATGAATGTGAAGTGAACTGATCAGTGATTTTTTAAATTTCATGAAATTGTCAATAGCAGCAGTGTCCATTGACTATCGAAAACAAAATTTATCAAGATAATACGTTTTTATGCTTGAGACAATTCGGTGATTTTAATACCCCTCAACAAAACATTGAGAATGCCGTTTTTACTAGAACGTCTTAAATGGTGTGCTTCATTTTCCTATTCAAGTCCGACTTTCCTTCTCTTTCATTTCAGTCTACCCACCTTTCCGATGAAGTCCGAGGCGTTGAAGATAGCCATCAGCACGACGGGCATCCACGAGCCGAGCCGGCAGCTGTGCACCTCACTCTCAATTCCCGGAAACAGGCTCAGAGTGACCAGGTAGGCCAGTCCGATGGAGAGCTGTAGGGCCACACACGACGAACGGTGGCTGAGCGGGCCGCCGCGCCGCCTGAGAGAGAGAGAGAGAGAGAGAGAGAGAGAGAGAGAGAGAGAGAGAGAGAAGAGGGGAGAGAGAGGATGTAGATAGAGGAGATGAGGGAGAGAGCGAGGAGAGAGGGAGAGAGAGA